AGGTTTTGATTACAGTGCATCTTGATCAATGCCATGCTTTCCATCCCTTTCTCCCCAAGGAGGAACTTTTTTTTTTGAGGGGAAGGGGCTGTCATGGAGCTTGAACTCAGGGTCTAGGAACCATCCCTGAGCTCTTTCACTCAAGGCTAGCACTCTACAACTTTGAGCCACAGTGCCACTTCTGGCTTTTTCTGTGTATATGGTACTGAGGAATCAAACCCAGGGCTTCATACATGCTAGGCAAGCACTCTACCACTAAGCCACATTCCCAGCCCAGAACAATTTTTTTTTTAACCTCAAAAATCCATTCTCCTTGAAATGTGTCTCAAACCCTTGCTCTGCACACACTCCTTCATTTTGTACACATTATCCTCCGAGGAATACTAGACAATTCCCTAGCAAAGAAGTCACCCACCATGATGGACTTCATCGATTATCACACATCCTTTTTGTATTTTATTAGCACAACAAAAGTACTTATTAGAAATATGATCCAAGTTTGAGAATTTTTCCACAATATGGTCTTGGTTCACTTTAGGTAGCTATTGAGGGTAGAGATTTAAAAGAACATCAACCAAATTATTGTTTGATTGTTTGCATTGACAACTAGCTCAACGTATAAATTAAAAGCACATGACTAACTGGCATAAATGGAGAAAGTCCATGAGTTTGGTTCGCGTCCTTTTATAGTTTTTTTTTTTTAACCTCATGCTTATTTGGCACTTAATGTTTACCCAATGCTATTACCATTGCTTGGGGCATATATTTTTATTTTTATAATAGCCCCATGAGGTGTAAAAGTCCCTAAAGATTGCCCCAAGAAATGCTTAGGGATGATACAAACATTTTTGCAAAGTGTCAGAATATCGAATCAATACGAAAAAAATAAGTACCAAGAATAGTGAGAAAGAAATCAGAAAAATAAATAATCCCATTCATAATATCCTCAAAAACAAAAGAAAATGAAACGTAACACTAAGAAACTCAACTAAGGAGGTTAAAAAAAACCCTCTGCAACAAAAACAATGAAATAGTGAAGAAAGGCATCAAAGAAACTAGACGATAGAAAACTCATGTTCATGGAATTAGCAGAATTTGTATTGTGGAAATGGCTATACAATCTACAGCTTCAATTCCTATCAAAATTCTAATGTCATTCTTCACAGAAATGGAAAGATGAATTCTAAAATTCATAGAAAAGCATTAAGATTCTGAATAGCCAAAGGCAATCCTATGCAAAAACAGCAATGCTGGAAGTGTCATAATACTGTCCTACAGAATCATCATGCATTTGTTTTTGTTTGTTTTCTTTTCAGACTATACTATAGAACCATAGTTTCAAAAACAACATGGTACTGGCACAGAAACAGACATGTAGACTTGTGGTATATTAGACCCAGAATAAAGTGCACACAGCCTCAGCTGGCAAAGGTACAAGAAACCTAACACTGAAAAAAAACCTTTGTCACAAACAGTGTGGGGGAAAGAATAGAAGACTGAAACTTGACCCCTATCTCCCAGTCTGTACAAAAGTCAATTAAAAAGGATCAAACCCTAATGTAAGACCTGAATTCTGAAACTACTATAGAAAAGCATGAGGAAAACACTTGAAAACACAGGCATATGGCAACTTTTTGAATAGGACTGTACTAGCTCAGAAAATAAGAACAAAAATTGACAAATGGGATCACTTCAAATTAAAAAGCTTCTGAACAGCAAGGTGGTAAATCAATGAAGCCCATAAAAATCATTTTTTAAAGAAGCAAAGGGATAAGAAACAAGAATGTGAGGGGTGAATAGGATCAAAATATATTAGATGCATATATGGAAATACCACAACAAAACTCCTTCATAGAATTAATACATGTTAATTAAAAAAGGAAGACCAGTGGTTAATTCCTATAATCCTAGATATTCAGGAGGCAGTGATTAGGAAAATTGTTTCAAGACCAATCCAGGCAAAATGTTTCTAAGGCTTCATCTTAACCAATAAAGAAAAAGCTGGGCATGGTAGTATTTGCCTGCCATTCCAGCTACTGAGGAAACATAACTAGGATTGCAGTCCAGGCTGGTTCAAACATAAACATGAGACTCTATGCAAAATATAGCCAAAAGGAAAAGGGCTCAAAGTGTGGATTAAGTGGTAGAGCACTTGCCTAGCAAGGTCCTGAGTTCAAATCCCAGCACCACCAAAAACAAAACAAAAATCACAATAAAAGGCAAGATGTTTCAAGCCAACCCCAGCAAGTTCCTTTCTAAGTGGGTTTTTTTTTTTTTTTTTTGGTTGGTTGTGGGGCTTGAACTCTGGGGCTGGGCACTGTCCTTCAGCTCTTCAGCTCAAGGTTAGCGCTCTACCACTTGAGCCACAGTACCACTTCTGGTTTCCTGGTGGTTTATTGGAGATAAGAGTCTCATGGACTTTCCTGCTTGGGATGGCTTTGAACCACGATCCTCAGATCTCAGCCTCCTGAGTAGCTAGGATTACAGGTGTGAGCCACTGGCACCCAGAATATCTTTTAAGAAGTCCTCCTACTCCTTGGCCGATCTCTCCTTTTTCCCTTCTAGAATCTTCATTCTTTTCCCCATTCCCGGCCCACTTTGATCCTCATTTCTAGAGCAGAGTGCACACATCAAAACCTCTTCAATGTCATTAACCTGATTTATGGATAAAAGCTGGGTAACAGTGTCATACATCAAGTACTGTCTTCCTGCTCCTCCGTTCATTATCCTCTTCCAGAGTTGGAACACAGCAGGTGCCTTCATTCTTCAACAGGGGACCTTGTACACGCCCCATCAAGCTGCCTTGCTAAACCTCTTCTAGAATGTGTACCCTGCCCCTTCCCCCGATTTGCATTAGCCTTCTTCCCATGGATGATTCTGACACATCCCTTCAAGCTTAGTGGGAGAATTCCTTTTTCCACGTCCACGCTGGCCTACATGTCCCTTTCCAATGATCTGCTAGAAAGGATAGCATTCTTCTGCTACCCCTTACCTACTGATTGGTTCTCACCACCCCTTGTTCTCTCAACCTTATTTAGCTCAGCAACACTCTGTCATCTGCAGACAGGAGTCAAGGGAGCCTTTTGGATATGCAATTTCTCAGGCCCCACCTAAATTTAACCAGATTGGAATTTCTGGGGTTGGGACGCAGTCATCTGTGATTCTTTTGCATGAGACATGCGTGAGTCTGGACGAAGTTCCCAAACTTACACTCCACACTGCATTTGACTGGTCTCTGATTCCCCAGCACTTCTGCCTTCCTGGGATGAAATAAAAGATCAATAAAAGATCAATGAATGAATGAATCATGGGTTAATTCTTTGAATGACTCATTAAACTTAGTCTCAAGGGTAGCTAAATTACTCTTGAAACACTATAAATATTCCTTAGTCCATTAATGTCAGGAAATATCCTTAGAATGGGAATTTTTCTTTAAGAGTGAGTATCTCTGCTAATTTCTAATTTTGAACTGGTTAAGTCTCAGTATATTGTTCCAACACAATAGAAAAACCTGAAGTAATTTAAAGTTTAGAGGTCATTCAGATAAGCATGAGATGCCTAGTGGTCTCAGAAGTACATTTTTAAGGATTCTACAGAATAGGAGGACTCTGCTTCAAGCTTTGAAAAACTGATTATATGACCTCCTTTAAATAGTTACTATCTATTCTTATTCTACTTTCTGAATACAGTAGTTTAGGAAGTAAACTGCAAATTGTGTAGGCCCAGTAAGGACTGCTACATAACAAAATGTAGCAGACTTTTCTTTCATGTTATACACTGCTCACATATTTATCACAGTACTTCATGTTATAATTAACGTGTATCACTAATTTTTTAAACTTTTCTTCCCAGGTATAATTTCACTCCTATAAAACAGCTGATGAAATAAGCCATCTATTAAATATAAAATCATCTTACTTACCTTGGTGATTTCTTGACTGAGAAACTTTACATCAGAGTCAATGTTCATTAGGGAAATAAATGAGCAAATTCTGCTTGTGAGAAATTTCTTTAGTATTCATTTTGTTAGCATAAGCATTCTGAAAAGCAGAGAGTAAATGAAGTATAGAGCAAGAGTAGTAGGTGGCTGAAGAAAATGCTGAACTGTATTAATTAGTAATCTAAACTGTGCTTATCTTTTACGGAACTCTCTCAAAGGCATTCCAAAACAAATGTGCTCTAACAAAATCAGTTTCTAAAAACACTTGCTTAATTTGGCCCCTAACTTTTATACCGCTTAGTTGCTCAGAAGTGCTTCCCACTTTTTTGTTTTCCCTCAAATTTCAAGTTTGAAGTCTTCCTAGGCAAGTCAAGAATCAAAGGGGAAGAATGTGCAATTTCAGTGACTGGTTGATCTGGAATCCCAATGTCAGAGGAGAGTCATTCCCAATTATCTTGGAATAATGGAAACAAACAAGTGGATTATGTTTAAACAACAGAGAAGAGATAACAGCTAAGATTTTCTTGGATTTTGTGATTTAGGTTGTAACTGTGATGGAGCCTAGGAGAATATGGGTGTGTTATTTGTATTTAAGTTCTTGGTGTAATAGAATGGGAAATTAATTGACTTTTCTATTTATTTTTTCAAATTCGGAGACCTCTGTCATTCTAATGATGTAGGAAGCTGAAGCCCTCCTGGTCACATTAGAAGCCAGATGTCATGAAGAATAACACCGCCTTAGTACAGGGAGATCCAGCAAGAGAAGCTTCAGGATGCCAGCCAACCACACATTCCATAAGAGAAATATAAATGCACCCATTCACTCCTTCCCAATTAACTTAAACAGTCAAGCTTTGAACAATGCAACTTATTAGCATATTCACTGTTCTCTTATGCTTTTGCCTCAAATTTTTCCTTCCTCAAGGATCACATATCTGAACCTTTAATAAAACAATTGCCCTTGTGAAAAGCACTCTATAAAACTCAGCACCAAAAGTGCCAGGGTGATTTTTGTTTTGTTTTGTTTTGTTTTTCAACTATTTGAAGAGTAACAAAAATGCTAAGGAAACAAATCTATGAACCAGCGTTATTTTATTTGCATTTAACATGATTATACACATTCATGTGTCTAACAAGATCTGCACTGTTACATTAAAAATACAGTACAATAACATTCAACATGAGGTACTTCATATTTATATAGTTTCCTTCATAAATAATGCTTTAAGCTGCTAAAGTCAAGCACGCTGAGGCACAAGTGGCTACAGGGTCTTGAACTAGCTGAGCTTAGTTAAACACCTTAAAAAAACACAAAAAAAGGACAGTTCAGTGCAATAATTATGTAGAAATTAGACCATTTACTTAAATACTATTTTAAGATATGCTTAAAGAATGTTACATAGAACTGCTAGCCTAGTTACCCTTAATTTCCAAGCTGAACAACAAGGGTCACCAGGTACATTGGGAAAGCATCTACAGCGAATGCCTTAATAAAGCTGTGTTTATACACTAGAGTTGTCGGCTTTGTAGTGTTCTGTTTTTGTTTTTTTAAACTACATAGTTTAAAATTACCCAAGAAAGCAAAGCAAGCACATCAGCTTTCATTCCATTTTGCTGAAAATGCAGGAAGGAGGACAGGATTTAAAAGGAGAAATACCTTATTCTACATACAGTTTTTCAATTTTTTTCCCACAGTTCTTAGCACAGGCCAATCAAATGTTGGTTATGTCGTTTCTTTCTTTTAAAGTAATAGTAAATAATAAGATTAAACTTCACCCAGTGTACATGACCTCATGGCTGTCACCCAGCAGTTTCATAGCATGTGGAGGGGCAGTTCAGCTCAGGAACAGGGGCACTGAGGGTAAACAGGGGACCAATGATGCCATCCTAAGGCTATCCACCCCCCTCAATTATCCCACGGGAAGAAATTAGGATGAAATGTTTCTTCTTCTCTGGCTTAAAAAGAAGTGCCTTCTAATCAGGTCTACCAATATTATGGTAGCTAAGACACAGTCAAAGTCTTAGGTAACTACAGGTAAAGCACAAAATTCTCTGTAGGAATATTTTTAATTGAAAATGTACCCTTATTTTGTCGATGCTTTGCCAAAACTATGATCTGTCATTTCCTAAATAAGAAATACTTGCTAGACAATTGTGGAAAGTTGCCTTGGGAGTTCTTATCTATACTCACCAGAAACAACTTCTAATCACCTATGCAAACAGACGTAGGTAATGGCAAAGAGTGATTAGAACATTTCCCATAATCCAGTGTTCTCCTCCATCAGGGAAGCCAGCTAAAGGCCACAAGCCCTTGTCTAACAGGGAAAGCAGTGGCCCAAAAACACAGAGTAAGTATGGGCAGTCACTCATCGGGCCTTGCTGGGGCCAGCAGGGGGACCATTCCTGTCCCATTCCTTGCTAGCCAGGCAGGGAGGAGGCAATTCCTGAGTCGGCAAATGCACTCGCATGCATGAAGGCACGCAGGCACACACACCCCAGGACTAACCCCTAGCTCCAAGCAAGCCAGTTCTGGGCTTACAGAGCAGGAGAAGGAGGCGGCCAGGGACCACACTCTGGGTGGCAGGAAAGCCATCTCAGGAGCACACTGAGCAGAAAAACTGCCCAGAAACACATGGATACTACACTGGAAGTGACCACACTGGAAACACTGCCAGGGTCACAGGCACTAAAATCAACACAAGCCATTACAGAAGGAGAATTTTTTGTTTAAATGAGCTTTTCCCTTCATTGTTTACATTACCCATGGACAAATTAAGAATGCTGGATGTGATGCTGATGTGGTGAATATAATCAAGTGTGTCACACCAAATCATTTTTCAAAAAACCCTGCAGGCATCTATTGGCACTTTAAGATGGCCAGAGGCCAGATTCTAGCAGTCCAGGAACAGCACAGAATCATAATCAACCAATCAGATAGTATATGGTCAAACATCAAATAAAGAATATTTCACATGTATAAAATAAAAAAGACAGCTTACCACATTAACATGTAATGCTATAAAACTAAAACTAATTGTTACTCCATTCCTCTAAAGAATGTTTGGTCCTTTTTTATTAAGGGTAAAGGGAACAGGAACTCTGTACAATAACGACATAAAAAAAAAAGTGGGAGTCCAAAGGCAAGAAAAGTTTGTCTTTTTCAAACTGTATATCCCAATGTATCTATCATCAAGTAAACCATCTGCAGTACAAACCTTTTTCAGGGCTCTTTTGTAAATCTGATTTCAGTGTAAATTACTAAGCTTGCAACTTCTTTCTGCTGACAATATTTTTCCCTTACAATTTTTGTTACTTCTAAAAGAAGTCTTTATATTATAGTACCTTAACTTCTAGACTTTAAGAATCTAAATCTGCTTTGGAGCAGAAGTCATGATCTGAACAAATACGCAATTGCTTATTTTCCTGTTTTACATTAACATTTTGAATTGTGTAATATGTAACAACCACACGAATTGAGATTAAAAAAAAAAAAATCAGAGCCCAGAGCAACCAATTTTAAAGGAATAGACAAGTAATACCACCATCTTCTTTTTAAATTATGACTGATTACAAAGCAAAACTCCCCAAAATTGTACACTGAGGTTTATTTCTCTTTTTGAAAATGAAGAGGGTCTATTTAAAAGTAATATTACTTTTAGACAGTAATAATATTGTTTTAGACTATGTCTACTCATCAAATAAAACCCTTAAAAATTTGAGGTGATTCAAAATTTTCTTCAGAGGGACAAAACTGGATGGCCAGCGAGACACATGGAAGAACGCAGCCTTCCAGGTACACACACACAACTCTAAAAGTCACAAAGCCTTAGTAAGAATGTGGCTCCTCTAAGCACACCGTTAAAAGCAGAATGCTGCAATTTAGCCTGTACATAATTAAAAGGTTGAAAGAAATTAGGAACTGCCTACTGCTTCATCGTGACAAATGACCTGCGCTGATCACACATCTGCAGTTGAGCTAAAGCATCAAGCAAGGAGGGCACAGATGCGCACCTCAGGCTCCCCCTGCTCGAGCTCGGGTAGTGAAGTTCAAGCATAGAAGATAAGTTCAGGGATCTGCCCTCCCTGTACCCCAGTGCCATTGGTGCTATCTGAGGAGCACTGAAACTGTACAGTCACTTTGCCACACTGAACTTCCGTCATGCCTTCTTGTCCGAAGTAGCTGAGTTCATTGCCATCCAGTATCACACTGGCTGTGTAGAAGGTGTCAGGCTCGATCTGCACTGGGTACTCAAACCACACAGGGAAGGTATTGCTGGATCCATCTGAGAAGTACTTGCTCAAGTTCTGCCCCAGAACAACGCCCTGCCTCTTGAGTTCTATCTTGGCACTATACTCTGCAGAGCCACAGCTGGAACCATACAGCCCGAAGCCTGCAATGAACACTCTTTTGTCCACTGCAAACTGGATGCTGTCACAGCGACCCCGGTAGCGCCACTGGTTGCTCCGATAGGCACATGACTGGAAGCGGTGACAGCGCTGGGGGACAAGGCCCTTGCGGGCCTTACTCACAAACTGCAGCTCGGGCTTTTTCGCCGCAGTGTACCAGAGGAAAATGTCATTGGTCTCATTGAGAGTTAATACTCCGGACTGTGCAGCACCATTTGCAAAGTCATCGAGGGCCATGGTGGGTATGCGGATCAAGTAAAGTGCCTTCCCTAGGACCTTGCGCTTGTTTTCAATGCTTAGCGCCAGATCTTGTCGCTGGCATTCAACTTCAGCCCAGTTGAGAGCGGCTTCAAAAACCACAATTTCTTTGGCATTCAGAGTTTCCCTGCGAAGGATACTTTCTAATGTCTGGAAGTCAATGTCGCAGAATCCCTCAGATTTGAGCGCTAACTCGGCCTGTGCGTCGATCACCTCCCAGCAGCGCTGTGTCAGGTCTGGCTCCTCAAACAGGCAGCTCTGGGAGAGGAGCACACAGGCGTTCTTGGCACTCAGGCTGGTCTCTAGGAAATTGACGCAGGCTCTGGCCAGGTGAGGGACGATGTATTTTTTGGCAGCATACAGTGTGGCAAGCACTGTGTCAGCAGCCAGGTCGATCTCATCACAATAGATGTATCTGAAAGGAAGCACACAACCCGTCATGGAATGCACACCAAGGGGGGAGGTTTGCAGTGATGGAGCCACTAGTTTCAAGATCATAATCTCGTATGAAAGAAAGATGTGTGTCTTAACAAAGCATCTGAAATATACACACAGTTTACAGCATTCAGTAACATGTATACAATTAAAGACACTAACTCTGTTTCCATTGTAACCTCTGTCTAACAAGCTGTATTCAGTATCTTTATGTGAAAAAAGATTGCATATCAGATATATGCAGTATTAGAAAACAACAGCAAAAATCTATTATACATGTTCTATTACATTTTATTAAGGAGTCCCGCTTCATGCTTGAATGGTAATATCTATAAATATAACTTACTATCACCTTTTCTATACATTCAAATAAAAACCAATGCCACTAATACTATGTCTACAATGAGTTGAGTGTGTCTTGATGTTTTGGGATTTTTCTTGAATATAAAATACAGCTTAATTATTAATTATTTTTCAAGTAGTTCCAAGCTCAATAAATTGTCAATCTATGGCCCTCAGTGCTGTCTTCTAGTTCACTTTACACTGAATCCAACAGACTTTAAACCTGTTTTTCAAATTCTAAATGTCTATCTTTCTCCACCTATGTTTCTCTTCCTTCAGATTAAAAAATGAATTATTTCTAGATGTACTAGTATAAACATGACACATAAAAGTTTAAGTGGATATTGCGTCTATGAAGTGAGTCCGTCTCAGGTAGTTAGGTGGAGTGGCAGTTTTCCAAAACTATCATAAAAGTAGACATTATCTGTTCTTACATTGCTGTGGATGAGGTGAGAAAGAGTCAGTGAACACCACATATGTGAACAATATTGGTAACATTTAACATTAATTTTTTTCTAGCTAAAGCATTCAGTACTTAAGTTTTCCTTCAGTTATTTCATTTTTTTAGTAAAGCACATATAACTTAAGAAATGAGCAATAGCTTTTGCAGTATAGTAAAAAAAAAATCTTTATGGATATGAAGAGGAAACATGTCTAAGGTCACAAACGCAATGCCCCTTTGCTCCCAGGAACCTTTCTCCATTCTACTAGGCTAAGCTAGCTACTACTAGCAAGACCACTTAACAATACATCTGCACTCAGTTACACAGCACATGTGGAGCAACGAGGAACATGGCCAGGGCTTGGTAGCTCTCAAACTATCAAGGGAGTAGATATTGCCATTTATCATCAAGGCCTTTTCCAGGAATACTGGCTACGCACTCACAATGTGGGAGGGAGGAAGCCTCCTCACACTGTGTCAACTATGGTAACTTACTGCAGTTCTATTCTTACCACTTCATGTGAATGGCTTGTATAATTTTAAAAAGCTGTATTGCCATATGGTCCAGGCAATATATCCATGGGAAAAAAAGATACTTGATAATGACTGGGTGAGAAGTCACTCTTTGTGGCTTTCGTTTACATTTCCTGATTACGCATATGTCTACAAGGACACATGCAGCACTTTACCTGACTGCAGTGGAGTCAAAATGCTGAACTAGTGCTGCATTCTACTCAACCACAGATCACACTGGCACATACACAATGCTGACTTTGAGGGGGAGAGGCAGGAATACTGAGAGGTAAATGGGTTTCTGTACAGACATCTTCGTAAAAAGCAGTGGAGTAGTTTTTGTTTATAGGCTTTATGTATCCACTTGCCTTTAATTTCCCTGCCTTTCACTGAGAAAGTTCTAATCAGCAGCAATTAGATTTCAAAACTCCAATAGGAATAAAGAATTAAATATGCTTAAGTTCTAGAACTCTTATTTTTCAGGAGGCAGTAAATAATACATAGAAGCATTTTAGCCATTTGTGAAAGTATTGCTCAACTTGATCCACTGAGAAATTGTTTTTAACAGACATTTTATTTATTCCAGTGAACTACAATCTCTAGAGCAGCAGATAACCTTAAACTCAATACTTCAGGTATCAGAAATACAGCTAGAGACAAATCAGAGAAGTATAATTTTGAATAATGACTAGAGTTTAATCACATGGAGCTATCTCCTGTAGCATCAGCACATGGTAAAGAAGATGATTTCAGGTAATGTTTAACATACACTACCACACAGAAAAGAGCCACTAGTTGTAAAACTTTATATACATATATGTATTTTATAGTTCTATATTCTCAACTAAAGGATTTTCTGCATCAATGTGAAAAGTTATAAGCTATTCATAGCTTTCAAAAATTACTCCTGCAACATCAAGAGTAAATGCATCTTATCCTTGCAGAGGATCCAATTTTGCATGTTATGTATGTGTGCCCCAGTATAAGACTTTCCAACAAATAGTAAGTTCAGTTCTGCCTTTGCTGTCAGGAGGTCATTAACTCAGAAAACTTAGCATTCTCCAACCTGGTGATACTTAAATAGGGTATATAATTTCTATAATTGTGAAGTAAAAATGGAATTCTTTGAAGACTTCTTTATATGCCCTGTTTTCAGAGAGAACATGTTCTATTAATGTCTACTCCTGCAAGTTATTTTTTTTCTAATTGTAAGGCATTAAACGTCAAATTGTTATGCATGCCATTTGCCCTCATATCTTATGCCAAACTGTGATTATAAATGCTTGCATCATTCTACATGCTTTCCACTGAAAGGAACAGCAGTTTTCTCCAAAAAAAACGTTTTCAAGGTAAGCAGCACTCTCTCTCTTCAGATTTCCTTTAGAGTTAGGCAGAACTTACATTTAACTTTGAAGCCAGCCGAGTACAAATACAGCATAAACAAACTCTTTCCAAACATACAAATAATGCTTACTTCAGCATAGCGAGAAAAGCAGCAGGTTCGACATCTGGTATACGGATTTCATCTTTGTCCTCAGCAAGTTCTCCGTAAAACATTGCATGGAATACAGAGCTCCCAACAGCTAAGACATACTGTGGAGACAGGAAAATCTTATTTCATGCACTAAATTGGAAATGTTTTCAGCAAATCAATCCAGAAAAACAACTCTAAGCAATCAGCTTTAGTGGACATAAAATATCTAAACCTCTTTAAAAAAAAAAAAAGTAAAGCTAACTGGCTACCTTGCCAGGGAAGCATGAACTGTTCATATAAAAAACAAAAACAACAGAAAAAAAGGTCACTATACTAATTATCTCAAAAACCTGGAGAAATTAATGCCCAGGTCCTGCACTGCAAAATAAATAAAAGCTTACCTCACCAATTTCTATGAGAAGGGTAAACGTAAGACTTTTCTAACCTGTCACAACAACTTCCCATACTTGGAGAGTTAAGAGGGCATGTTTTTGTGTGATACATAAAGCAGTGCAGAGGAAGGAAACAAAGAAAAATTAAGCGTGGCCAAAGCCCTTTGGAGAGGGTACGCTTGCTCTGTAATCGGGTAAAACATGCTCTGCCTGCTATCGGCAAGCTGCCAACACCAACTTCCAGCCTGACTAAGAGGGTCTCTTCTTTGTGAATCTCAGTACTAAACCAGTAATGCAGCTGTTGCTTACTTTGTGTCCTGGTAACCGCTGAGTCCCACCTGGTGGCCCAACCACAAAATGTACATCTGCCATCAAATCATTATTGAACATCACCGCATTTCTATAAACAGAGGTAATTCATTAGTTCAAAGCAGCCAGCAATCTTAACATCCCCATCCCTTCCTCAACATACAAAACCTGCAAGAGAGTCACAGGCTAAGCCATAGTTTAATAATTTCATTTCACGGCAAAACAACACATAGAGGTTCTAACTAAAAAACTGTGTTTGTAATCATGGCAAACACATGGGAAGGAAGTAAAGTTAAAAGAAAAAAGTTATGCAAACTTTTACATGGCTAAAAACAAATAAGAATTTCTATCTTCCATGACCCACAGACACCACCCTGTCTTTATCTGTTAAAGCTTGCAAAAACATTTTTATCTAAGAGGAAAACAGCTGTACTGATTTGGAAAAGATACCAAGCAGTTTTCCATTACCAGTAAAGCATCTGGGAAAAGAGGAAACACAGATCTGTGTTAAAATACTTTGCAGGTTGTACAAAAGCACAAACTTCAACACAGAAAACTTTTTCAAGTCCATGTGCTGGCCCGGCACTTACCTTTCTCTAATGGTAGGATAAAGACCCTGCCAATTCGGGGCGGGGATGAGGTTGTTGTTACTGAGATTCTGCTGGTGGTACTGCTGGACAGTGGTGCTGCTGGAATTGGCTGGTTTTTTGCGAGGGAATATATCAGCAGCCATCTTCTTCTTCTTTTTAGTCTTCAAGGTAATTATTTCATAACAAACTGGGGGCAACTTGCTGTTGCTGCTGCCAGCGCTGCTGCTGCTGCTGCTACTGCTACTGCTGCTGCTGCTGCTGTTTGCTTTCTTTGAGCTTTTCTTGGACCTGTTCTTTACCGTCTCTGGAAGCATCAAGAAGAAGGTGAGACATTTCATGTTCTTTTCCTTGTCATCTACCATGAGTACAGTATGTCTCTCTTTACAGCTAGATATCCCAAATTGATTCGAACATCAAGAAAAAGAGGCTAGCCGGAGTTAAGATGTAAATAAGAACCAACAAGCTGGTATTTTGCTTCTTTTCTCAGCCAGGCAAGGTGACCTTTTCACTATGTTGAATAGAAACTGGCTTTAAGTTTTATCCAGTACTGGATCTGTTAAATACATCCCCATCATGATTCCTGTTTCTCTTACTTGCTCATAAAAATAACCGTTTCCTAGATCACCTGAAAATGCTACACTGAGCAAAGATGACAGGCAGAGAGCTGTAGTACTTGTTTTCTGAATTAGGTTAGCAAGATGTACTGGAGCCGAGCGAGCAAGCGAGTGTGTTCAGCCGGCTGAAGTTGTGTGGTGAATGGATCGGAGGAGAGGAGAGTAGGTATTACAGCCCTGCAGATGGAGTCAGACAGCCAGTGCTCGGAGCCAATAGCTGAAGTCACCAATCATGATTGGACCAAGCAAAACAGTGACACCTATTGTAACATGCATAGTTCTGATATTAAAGGAACAGTAGTTGCATTCTCTTGTCTACTGTATATTTAAATAAGATAAACAACACATGAAACGTATTTGACAACAGGAAGGGAGGAGTTTATGAACACAGATTTCTCTTTAGCACGTGGATATTTTCATTTCCTCTGTTCAACAAGCAGGATCAATTAACAAAGAATATAAACCAATATATCTACTCTGTATTTCTGATGTTTTTTTTTTAAATCTTTGTCCCAGCAGTGTCTACTTTCAAATATTACAAACAAAATCCTCTCATCCATAAATTTTTAATGTTGGGGATTAACAACAGCCAAATCACACAAGCACATTTATTACAGTTTAAAAGGAAAAGGTTATTTTTTTTCCCCGATCTCTTTGAATTCAAGTTAAATTCTAGTGCAAAAGAAGAGAGCTAAAGCTGTGTATTCAATGTACCTTCCAATGGTTTCTATCTCCTAAAATGATCTTTGACAGAAGTCTCAAGTCACAAAACATTGTTAATTAGGATTAGATTATACCACCACGCTTAGCTGCACTGAAGCATAAGACAAATTCTAGCTGCAAAAAAATAACATTCAAATAAGACAAATCTGATAATCAGTGTTTAAAAGCTATAATTCACTATAGATATGTCAGATGGGGCTCTGTTCAGGATCTCAAAATCCAACTTAACTGTTAGTGCTACATTTAATCCTGTTACAATGTTAACAAATATAACCCAGGACTTCTAACACAGAACCCAACAATAAAGCTATTTGAAATGATAAATGTCTATCTGCTGCTGCCTAGTTAAAATCCAAATAGGTAATCCCTGCTTTAAATCAGAATAAAAATTCCTTTATGGTTTTCATAGATGTAAAATCCTTAATAATTTCTGGGAAAAAATTAGAGCAAAATCTGCTGTTGATTTTACACATGCTTATTAATTTGTAGAAGGACTAATAAAGAGATTTAATCTCATCCCTATCCTTGGACTAACATTCATTTGTTCAAAGCACAGCAACTCCTCATCTCTGGCCTCCCCTCCCCTCTGCCCTTCCTGACCATGGCCTGGTTTGTTGTACAATATTCACCTGAATAATCACAGCTGACAAGAGAAGACTCAGCAAATGAGAACTGTAGTTATTATTATAAGTAATATTCCAGTAAAGACAAAACAGTCTTCATATTTCTAGGATTCTAAGTCACTAAATTGAGCCAAGGAATACCATCTCTAAAACCATAATTATTATTCAAATCAGTTGTAAAATTATCACAAAGAATACCATGTAAGAGAAACACAGTCTTTAGCACAATGTTGCATGTTCTCATTTTAGATGGACTCTGAGTGCTGCTATTTATTAAAATTACTAAACATTATTACCAATCGCAGGACTAATAGACACATCCTATATGTTGTGTGTGTGTATATATATATATATATATATATATATATATATATATATATATAATTTCCCCCCCCCCTCCATGTCAGTTCTGGGGCTTGAACTCAGAACCTGGGCAATGTTCCTGAGCTTTAAGGCCAGCACCACTTGAGTCCCAGCTCCATTTCCAGCTTTTTACTGGTTAACTGGAGGTAAGTGTCATGGATTCTGCCCCAACTGTGTTTAAAATGAGATCACAAGATCTCAGCCTCCTGAGTAGCTAGAATTACAGGTAAGAGCCAGGGGCTCCTAGCTCTCTACACTTTTAAATCACCTTCAAACACTCTAAAATTTATTACCAAATAGAGTTTTCTCACTCATTCCTACATCTCTTGAATTTTATAGCAATTTCAAGACATAATGCATCTGTCCTACTAAGGTAAACAGGTCAAGAAGTTCATCAATCTTTAATGAAAATATCCCCATATATACCCTGCTAATCATGTGGTAGATTAGGTGCTAGACATACAATGTGGGAGACTAAGAAACAAGCTGAAAAGATTAGCCAATAGTGGGTTTCAATTGCTTTTGTAATTTCCAGAAAGTTAAATCTCAATTATATGTTAATGAAAAAGTTACCAACAGAATTTCCGTTCTTTTTTTTTTTCTTTTTTCTTTTTCACCAGTAAGAGGTTTGCCTGCCCTTCTACCTTTAGTAGGATTTTTATATGTTCGGCTTGGGGGTGTACACGAATGAGGTTTTAAACTAAAGAGACACTTTAAATCATGTAAAATCGCTCTTGTTTCACAAGATGCAAGAAGAGGTAATGAACGTTAAGTCCGCAGTTCAGCAGTCAGGCAACCCCTGCTCTGCAAGGAAAATCTGTTTGCCCCATTCACTCTGATTTTCCCTCTTAGCAATCACCCCACTTCCTTACTTTATCTTGTGCATATTTTCGATCTACTGTAAAAGGACAATGTATACGTAAAGGTTACAAAGAGGAAACACAAGAGCACAATCCACAACCTAACATCCACACCGCGCAGACGCATATGATAGAAAGAAAGGAATGCTGAAACAATACTTTCTGGAAAGAAATGGGGCAAAAGCTTTCAAAAGAAGGGTCAGCTATTAAGAAGCTGCTAAGATACAGAAGAGCCTCTCTGGGTATATCAAAAGTAAGGAAACTATCCCAGTCATGGTTAACAGAGTTCTTTGTTCATAACCAACAATGCTGGCAACTCTTGCTTAACTTGCTCTAACTCTGGACTCCCTGTCTGAACTTGTACATGGCTTACTACGAGTCATGTAAAAAGTAACTACAGTGAAGTTGGCTGAGGTGTAAACAGGGTAAGGCAGATGAAGAAATATCTAGTATTTCAAAAAATGATTCATGAACAACAGAGGAGAGATGTTTAATCTGATGGTAAGAAGTGATGGTTCAGTGTTTTTCTTTTCAATACCAACCAAAGTTCAGCTTGTGATCTGGGAGGTTAAAAGATAGGCAACTAAACAGACTGTCCCTAAAGATAGCCACTGCTGCTGGTCCACATTCTGTATTGCTTTCTAAATTTGAAGATGAAGATGGAGTCAAGCATTGGCAGCATACACGTTGAAAAAAAGCCAAGAGCCAAATGACCTTAAGGTTAGTTACTTTAGTATTTGCAAGCCTCATTTTCCTCATCTGCCAAATGGGGGTAATTATACCAGTTCAGGTTAACTATAAAGGCAAATTACATGCTTATGAAAACACTTTGATAAAAGTTTGAAAACACTCAAAAAAGGTAAGTTCTTACTATTAGTGGCAATTGTATCCAAGCAGGAAACAATACTGGTAGTGTAAAATGAATCTGCATGTACTCTGCCCACGTGCACAGCTACAGACATTTTATCTCTGCTTTAGGCTTGCTCTAGCCCCACCTGTGGGCCAAAGAGCAGCCTGGTGATTTGTGAATCATGCTCCCATTTTGCAGCTGCTCTGAAGACTGCATAACTGAAGGAAGATTCATGTTGTACATTTTTTTTTTCTTTTTCAAGGTACTGGGATTTGAACTCAGGGCCTTGTGTTGCTGGGCAGATGCTCCCCTGCTATTCATGTCCCTAGCCTTTCTGCACTGTTTTATTTGGGGAGTAGTCTTTCACTGCCTGCCCAGGAATGCAGCAGAACCATGATCTACCCATTTTAGTCCTCCTGTAGTAAGTGGGGTGATAGGCACACACCACTACACCCAGTTTCTTCCATCAAGACAAAGCCTTGTGATCTGCTGAAGGGCAGGACTTAGAAGCATGATCCTGCTGATCTCAGCAGAGCACAAAATTAGGATGACCCATGCACCACCCTGTCCAGCTGGGTTGAGAAAGGATCTTGTGTTTACTTCTACCCGAGCTAGCCTTGAACTCTAACTTTGCTGTTCTCTATAACTAGAACTTGAACTATAACTATAACGTACAACATTCCCAGCTGTATATTTTGATCAAGTCCACATCAATGGCTAAATTTTGCAGTATTATTTCCAAGTTAGCACTCAAGAGCTCCCATTCTAGGCCTGTATCTATTGTGGTCTTCAAAGCTCCATGAAGCCACCTATTGGCAGATGCCTCAGACTATCTTTTAGCCTAAAGCCACAAGCAGTTTATCTCATAAATTAACAACAATATCTATTCAATTGGATTTCTTAATGATGACCCAGAGTTTGAATTTAGCCACAAGTGTGATAAATACCTAATACTAACCATGGGCAAGGTGGTTCCTAAGAGCTGTCTTGAAAACAGCCAAGCTTCACTAAACTACCTTAGAGCCACACAAAGCTCCAGTTAGATTTGAATTGTCTTTTAAGTTTTGGGGGAAAAATGCTCAAAGTTAGAATAAAATAATTCTCAGAAGGCAAGAATGATTATTCTTTTAAAATTCTACATACCATTAAACGTGTTATTTGATTACAGCTCTTAAAACATACTGTTTTGAGAGGCTCATGGACAGTGCCCATGCTGTGAGAGTCCTAGGACCAGCAAACACACACACACACATACACACACACACACACACACACACACACACACACACACAGAGTGTCTCACTCAGTGTGTGTTTTTTTTGGAATACTAAACAACTCATCTAAATCTCAACTTTTAGGTTAATTTTATGTGATTCTGGGAAGGAATATAAAAACTTTATCATAGATACCACAGATTCTTCGGTGAAGTGTAAGATACATTGGTAAAAACCATTTAATTTGCTACTTTATATAGTTTTAAATGATCTCAGTAAATTTCCTCATGTCTAGCGTTAACTATATTTTCTCATCCAGCTTTAGGTTTTAAGAATTTTAAAAAAATCGATGTAATATGTGACACAACGTTTTATTTGATGTAGTTTCTTTAATATTATTGAGTATTCTTCAACTAAAACTATGTGTAAATATATGGTAAGTTCTATTAATTTTAAATTTTACCACAAAAACACATACATTTTTTAGTTTCTCTGAGATGCATCTTAAAATTTATGGTAACTAATGAATATGACTATTAGGCTTTCTCCCAATGATACAGAAAATAACAGCATGTCTTACAACTAATGGCACCTTACAGTTAGTAAAATGAGATACAATTTATATAATTCAACAGAAAAAAAGA